TTTTTTTTTTTTTTTTTTTTTTTTTGGGTTACACGTAATGGCCACTATACTTTTCACCCTATATTTAATTATTTTATTACGAGTCATATCGATAAATATTTATATATAATTAAAAAAAAAAACCCCACAATAAAAAGCTGCTTTAAAACCACCATTTTTAAATTTTCTTTTTTCTTTTCTTGGATTTAATTGGGAAAAAATTATCCCACAAATGGTTTGCGTTTAAAGTGGCCAATAGTCAGAAAAATAAATAAATAAATTATTAATTAATTAAAATCTTACCTTTTTATTTAAAATTTTTAATTATTTAGTAATTTCTTTTTTCAACTTTTTGGAGATTGAATAAAGAACCCAAAAGATCTAACTCACCTTTCCTGTTTAAGGACAAAGAAAGGTATCTTGGAAAAGATTCACCCCACTCCCGGAATATTCCCACACCCAATATACCTATACATTTAGGGTCCCGTCAATCTCTCTAACTTTAATATTGTTCCCTAAGTCGCTCAATCAATAAAAACATATATATATTTTCAACAAAATATTTATATATATCCGAGTCACGAAAAATACTAAAATTTGAGTACTAGCGGCGTCTAAATCGCTACTGTATTATTTCTTCTTGGTTACGATTGATTTTATTAATAAAAAAAAGCATATTTTAAAAAATTGATAGGGTTGAATTGGAGAAGGTGTGGCCTAGACAACTCGAGTAGTGTCGGTTGAAAATGTATAGCGCAAAAGCCGATAATAATATACAAGAGAAGTCGTTTCTTTTCTGTCTTTTTCCATTCCATCTGCCTTTTTTCTTTTTTTGATTTGGTATGAATGGCTAGGAACATAACATAACATCCATGATCTTCTACGGCTTTTGTCATGGCCTTGACCAAATTGTTTTGCTTTACACGCAAGAGAGAGATTCGCAAAGGGGCCACCTTTAATGTTTGTTTCTCTATCGTTTTCTTTCACGTTCATAGTCGATCGTTTGATCGAGAAAATTTTCAACTCTGTTTGTAGTTTGTATCGTTCGATTAATCGAACTTTAGGAATGTATCCACTTGTTTGTAGATTTATTGAAAAGGAGTAACGAGGAAAAGAAAAATAGTTTAGAATAAGTATTCTTTTTGTAACGCTTCATGCCCGTGATTTGAATCAAAATTTGGTGTGAGATCTCACATCGGTTGGAGAGGGGAACGAAATATTTCCTACGAGGGTGTGAAAATTTCTCTCTAACAAACGCGTGTGAGGCTAATGATGATATATAATGGACCAAAATGGACAATATTTGCTAACGGTGTGTCCGTGGGGACACTGGCCTTTAAGGGAGTGGATTGTGAGATTCCACGTTGGTTGGAGAGAAGAACAAAACATTCCTTATAAGGGTATGGAAACCTCTCCCTAGCAGAGACATTTTAAAACCGTAAATCCGACGACAATATACAACGGGTCAAAGTGGACAATGTTTATTAGTAGTGGACTTGGAATCTTACATTTAGAATCAAGATCAAATAATTAATTGTCTCGACATTCCTATGCATCTATATGGCATGATTACGTCGCATGATTACGTCTATCTATCATCTTTAATTGTTTTCAAAATTTTTCAGAAGGTCAACCGACATAGAAATACTCTAAGCTAACCACGCTTAACTTGAAAGTTCGTACAAGAACTACCGAAAAATGAAAGAAATTAAGATGCACGTTATTAGAATAAATAATAATTTTATTTTTATTTTTAAATAAAGGCACGTGGTAAAAAAAAAATAAATAAATAAAGCAGCTCCCCTTCGTTCATTATGAGAGAGAAAAGTTGAGGGAAAGTAAGTAGGCGATGGTGGAACACGTGTATTACAAGTTGCTGACGTCACTCTTTGGTGAAATTACATATTCTTGTTAATTAGTTCAAAAGAGAGTGCAACTTGGCAACCATTAATTCCACTAATTAACACACACATCATTAATGCAACTAATCTCATATTTCCACTTTTAATCACTAATTAACTTTTTTTTTTTTTTTTTCCTTTTACTATCCAATTCTATCTCTCGTACACACTCGTGATAATGATTCGATTCATTAATTTTAATTTAGTTACTATATCATACGTTCATATTATAATTAAAGATTCTACTATACTCTTAACTAACGAGGTCCACCGAACTTGAATTTTGTATTATAAAAACAGTTTAAGTGAGAGACGATAATTAATTTTAATTAGATTGAATAAATTAATAACATAAAAGGGATGGATAAGGTTAGAGTAATTAATGAAAAGCACCCATTTCTTCCCCACCTTCTCAATTTTCTAATAATGGAACTAACTCATAGGTTCCAAATGAGGGTTTTTCAATTTCATTAATTAAGAAAAACATGTCAATTTAATTTAATTTAATTTAATTGTTTATTGAATCTTTGCCTACTTTTCTTGGTCATGATGTGTGTATTGATTATTTATATGTACATAGTGCTTCCTTTTCTTTTCTTTTTAAATAAATAAATAAAAAATTATATAGACACGGGTTAAGATCGTGAGGCTGACGGCGACGCATAACATGCTCAAACTAATAATATTTGCTAGTGGTAGATTTGAGTTATTGCAAATAGTATTAGAGCTACGATGTGGCAATGAAGACGTTGGACTCTTTTGAAAGGATGCTTTATTTTTGTTAATTACTTATTAAAAAAAAAGTAGCATAAAGTTATAAACACATACTAAACTAAATAAATAAATTAATATATGATTTTGAAGTATATTAAAATAAAATGAGGCTGAAAAGGGAAGATATTGGAATCCATTTGGAGATTCTTTGGGGTTTTCAAAAATTTTGTTCACAAAAGTTTGATGAACCATTGGCTGCAACTCCCTAGTGGGGGATATAATTCTTTATTGCTTCTGGTTTCATTTTCAACTTTTGTGTATAATCTAACCAATAATTTATGTTAATTAGGACAATAAAATAAGCTTTTAACCCGAGCAACCATAGTCGAGTTTCATTTGATTCGTAGATCTCAACTTTAAAATGTTTCATTGACAGACTAGCTAATATTTTCCAATATATGGATGAAAATGGTCTATTGACACTTCATAGATTATCTCCAAATTTTTTAAATGTGGTACGGACATTAAAGATAATTTTAAACTTCTTAAAAAAAAATTTAAAGACCATTTATTACAATTTCCCCTATTTTATCAAATATATATTGCATATGGGTAGACTTGGGCCCATGGGCCTTGTGGCTTGTATTTGGGCCTTCTTCAAACTACTTTAGAAACGGAAATTACTATCTAATTTGTATTATCTTACCTCCCTATTCTAGTAAATTATTTACCTCAAAGTTTTTACCATGGATGGACCAAAAGTCAATATCCACTAGAACTAAATACAAAAACAAGCCGCCCGTGAGGTCGAGGCCTGAATTGATCTTAATCAACACGACGGTTCAAATATGCTAATAGAGATGTGCAAGGTGGAAACAGAAAAATCTTTTTCATTATTGTCTCGACCCTATTTCATTTTCTATTATTATAAAATTTTCATATATTTTTACAAAGACGTGAGTAGGGATTCAGTATGCATGCGTAATATGTTCATAGACAAAAATATAATATAAAATTTACACACATGATTTCTGAATTTTTTTTAACATAATGTTAGATACAAAGTGAGTGATTAAAAATATAGATATGAATTTAAGCCGCCAACGATTGAAGTAGGAAGGGATTAGAGCAGCAATATTAAATGCTTAATCCTCTGTTCATCGCAGTTTCAGCAACGCCGATAGCGACATTCCAAAAGCGACTTTCAAGTTTTCTTCTCCCATAAACTGTATATGTTTTTTTAATTTCTGTCCTGTTTAGATCAACCCTTTACGAAAATATCATATCTTATCTCTTTAGCCGTATGTGGGTCTCGCTCTCAGGATCGAACCATCACCGCCACAATTATGCTTCTACCTACTCCATCATAATCTTCTCGTCTGATGCTTAATGTTCTTACATCTGGACTTTCAATTGATTTTTCCCATTTATTACTCTCTCGTTCTTCCCCTTGCGATTTTATTATTATTTGACTTCCTTCGACGGTGACTTCCTCTGGGGTTCTCCCCAATTTTCAATAGGGTTTTCAGGACACATTTTGTTGTTTTAAATCCTTTTTGGCACAGCTGTCTGCAATAAATTATATGTATAACGAAGATCTAATTTCAAACCAATGAATCACGACCAACTGTTGTCATTGTTTGGATTAGCACAACTTTTTTTTTCCGCGAATTTTGTTTGTTTTGACATGGGGTTTCTATTTTATATCCACAATTCATGGACTTTGTTCCATAGCTTTGAAAAACGACTAGTTTTTAATAAACCCTTTACTTTATCTGAGATTGGGTTAACGCTTCCTTCAATAGATTGCATTGTAGTTGTTGATCTGTTATTATTAGATTACAGTTTTCTATCATATTAGTTTGTGTTCATTGGTTCCTGTAGCTTTCTGTTAAGTCAAACAAGCCAATTGGTAGCAACCAAGTTGAAAAAGATGTGCAATGAAGATATGACAAGACATTCAAGCGTGTGTTCACTTTGGACAAGAGGGATAGAATCCTACTTTTTAGCTGGAATAGTTTTGTCGTGGATGTTTTGTCTTTTGCTAAGAACTAAGGTCGTGTCAGTCTTAATAAGCAGCTGTAATTATCTTTAAGACATCCATTTGTGGTAGTTTTATAAGTACGTCTATCTTTCTTGTCTATAAATATGTGATATTTTCTGTTTCTGAAAGACGTGTCTTAGTTGTTCTGGTTTGTCCCTCTGAGTTCCCACGGAGGCTCCCCAATTCTGGAGGGACACAGAATTCTGTTCTTCATAAATCCCAAATCTGAGATTTCTTGAAGAGAAAGTGACAAAAATTGCTTGATTGGAGGGCCACAGACAGGAAACTAGGAACATTCTTCTTCTCCGTCTGTTCTGGTTTGTGTTCTTTTCCCTTCATTTGGTTTAAAAGGATGGTTCTAAAACATGTTTCATGTTGATTTTCTATATGCATTCTTGATCTTGATGCAAATTAAACATTGATCTAGTTTAGCTGTTTGAATTTTGTCTTAGTGTGGCATCTTTTATAGATCTTGCTGTTTAAGATCAGAAGCTTTTCATTTTCAAAATTTTCCAAGGATTTTAAGAATGTTCTTAGAAATAGAATGGTTATCAAATGGCCCCATTCAATTTGCTGCTTATGATTTTCTTTAATCAAGTTATGGTTCATAGTGTTCTTATCTTCCTACAAGTTTTAGTTCCCGAAATCATGGTTTCTATGACTTCTAGGTGCTGGCACTTCGTCATGGAAAACGGAACATATCAAGAATATAAGCCCGAGGAGTTGTCTGAGGTTCCATCATTAATCAAACACATATCATCAATTGAAGTGGTTCCCTTTGATGGGATTGAAGAGGGTAGCCTTCCAAATAATCATTCCCCCTCTACCCTGCCTACTGTAAGTTCTTACACAAATCATGTGTATTTATTTTAGTGAAGTATTGGTTATGGAACAAATGATTTTGAGATTGTATTAGCGTGTTCATCGTCTAGATTTGACGTAAGCGAGACGTTCTTGTTGTTGATTGTCTTCTGCTTTAGATGACTTGGAATACTTAGAATTCTGGGAGAAAAACATGTATCATGGTGGTCAGGTGAATAATGGACTTCTTTTTTCCATAAAAAACAGGGAAATACATTATCACCTGCTGAGCAAAGTGATGATGAACTTCAGTTCATTAACCATCAAAGAAAGCCTTCTGTTTCTATCAGTATGCCACCCTCCCCTGTGGGAGTTCACTTACAGACTTCAAAACGAGTTCTATTCGGTGGCGAACAGATACTAAACAATGAAGCCTTGGGTCCTGCTGCTGGGGCCAAACCACAGAAAGCTGCAAAGTTTCACTCTCAGCCAATTCCGAGGGGTTCTACGTTTGACGTGTCGAGGAACACGAATGCTGCACATCACCCTAGTATGAGAAGATTGAAGGACAAAAGATTTGATTCCTTCAAAACATGGTCTGGAAAACTTGAAAGGCAATTAACTCTACTTAGTGGAAAGTCAGCAAGACAAACTAGGCCAGAGGAAATTGAAGTGCAAAGAGAAGGAATCGAGAATAACATACCGGTTCACCGTTACTTCGATGCATTGGAAGGTCCAGAGCTGGAAACTCTAAGGGTATGTACTCCTATTCTCAAGTTCTTAACTCATGCTAATGTATCATATATCAATATCTTCATGTCTGAACAATAGAATGACTAGTAAACATTTGGTGCTCTAGCATCCTGCTAAAATCAATTTGGTTTGTATATTTATCTGGTTACCACTAGTTCAAAGCCTTGCATTTCGAAGGCGAAAATGGATCTTCCCATCAGATGAAGAGTTAGTGGGAGTTTGGTATGACTTTCGGAATACGAAAAGACGTTCTTAACCGATTAGAAATAATTTTGAACAATTTGTTTTCCATTTTTAAACAGGCTTCAGAGGAAATACTGCTTCCAGAAGACAGGACATGGCCTTTTCTACTCCGATTTCCTATCTCATCGTTCGGTATCTGTCTTGGTGTTAGTAGCCAAGCAATCATGTGGAAAACACTGGCCACTTCAGTCTCCACGAAGTTTCTTCATTTGAGCTTGAAAATAAATCTCATTTTATGGATAATTTCCATTGCACTTATAGTCACAATTGCTTCCGTTTACCTTCTGAAAATGCTTCTGTACTTCGAAGCAGTTCGTCGTGAATACTACCACCCTATTCGTGTCAACTTCTTCTTTGCACCGTTGATATCTCTCTTGTTCTTAGCAATTGGTGTTCCTCCGTCAGTTACCACTAACCTGCATCCAGCAATTTGGTATGTTCTCATGGCTCCATTTCTATGCCTTGAGCTTAAGATTTATGGGCAATGGATGTCAGGAGGCCAACGCAGATTGTCAAAAGTGGCTAATCCTACAAACCATCTTTCCGTTGTGGGGAATTTTGTGGGGGCTTTGTTGGGAGCCTCAATGGGACTAAAGGAAGGGCCCGTATTCTTCTTTGCTATTGGAATGGCTCACTATTTGGTCCTTTTTGTAACTCTCTACCAGAGACTACCAACCAATGAGACACTCCCGAAGGAACTGCATCCAGTGTTCTTTCTTTTCATAGCAGCACCAAGTGTTGCATCCATGGCATGGGCAAAAATTCAAGGTTCCTTCGACAACGCTTCACGAATCATTTACTTTATTGCCCTGTTCCTCTACTTCTCACTGGTTAGTCTCTATACAGCTCATTTATTGTATTTCAGCCTTTGTTTACTAGTTGTTTTATGGGTCAAGATTAAGGCATTTTGATTCATGGTGACCTGAAAAACTTTGCTGTTCTTTCTTCATGGTTCTGTTGATCGCTTCGTTGAACGTGTTACAATTCCATGATTCTTTTCAGGTTGTTCGAGTCAACTTTTTCCGGGGCTTTAAGTACGACACAACTTTCTTTCTTCTCTTGAAACTTTTACATTCTTTACAAGTTAGTTATCTCAATAGCATTTTGTTTTGAATCAATAGGTTCTCGCTGGCCTGGTGGGCATATACTTTTCCCATGACTGGTGCTGCAATTGCAACTATAAAATACTCAACTGAAGTTACAAATACAGTAACACAAGTTCTGTCTGTTGTACTCTCTGCCACTGCTGTAATCATAGTGACAGCTCTCCTTGCATCAACGATCATCCACGCCTTTGTGCTTCGTGACCTCTTTCCTAACGACATCGCTATTGCCATTAGCAACAGAAAGCCGAAACCACAATGGAACTGGTTGCATCATCTAAAACAAGGAAGTTCAGAAGCTCAAGACATTGAAAACTTCTTGAAGTTTTCAAACTCAGATAACAAGGATTTAGAAGCATCTCAAGGACCACCAACCCTCGTAGGCCAAGACACAAACCTCCAACCGTCAAACGAATAGCTCTGCTGACCACCACCCTCAGCAGGCAGAGACATGAACGTCCAACCATCAAGTTATTAGCTCCACTGCTCTCAGGCTCACCCCGGTATAAAAACCACCGATCGAACATAGGAAGAAATTGATTTTGTAGTTTGAATGGCTCCAATGAAACAGATTTTGTTAGAAATATATTATGATTTGTGTATGAATATCTATGATGTGCTTGATTTCCTGTTCATGTGAGATGAATAAAGGAACTATGTTGAAGTATCCGAAGTCATGGGGTTTTCTAATTTTCAGCTGTGCTACTGGCAGTAGTAAGACAGTGAGAACCTTAGCCACTCAAATGAAACATTTGATGTTGGATTGTCTGTCTTGTTCTCTGCCTTGAAAAGTTGTAAGGGTTATCCATTCGTTTGGAGTTTTGAGCTGACAGAAGAATTGGAGCGTCACAGTGATGTGCTCTGCTTATGCCTACAGTGACTGGCAAAGTGGTGTGGAGCAATGGAAGCTTCGGTCCCCACAGTAATGGAAACAATTTCTTGTGAACCAGAAAATTCCAATGGAAAGAAAACAGATATGCATTGTTATCAGAATCTGGCTTTTCTCCCAACACACTTTGTCCTTGTCTCCCTATCCTGGAATGTCCTACTCCTACTCTTACCCGAGCTTTTCGATTAACCAATCCCCTAATTTTAAGGGTATCTCTATCTTAGATAGAAGTAGAGTCGGGGATCACTAATTAGTTGAATGAGCCTATGTCTCTGGTCTATCATTGTAGAGTCAGGGATCACTAATTAGTTGAATGAGCCTATGTCTCTGGTCTATCTGGTCTATCATTGTTGGGTTGATGGTTTGATGTTAAGTCCCATTTAGTAATGTTTTGCATAATGCTCGTTAATAAGATTTGATTGGATTGGTAGGTGCTACCAATTCTTGTATGTTGAAACTTTTTTAGTATACCTGTTCATGGATGTAGAGGCTAAATTAAAGCATGTTTGAAATAAGTTATAGTAATGTTTGCATAATACTATTTTATTTTCAAACACATTTTTGTTGAAACTCAAATATACGAAAGTTGAAGCTATAAATTCGCGGGGATAGCTCAGTTGGGAGAGCGTCAGACTGAAGATCTGAAGGTTACGTGTTCGATCCACGTTCACCGCATTCAAAGTGAAATTTGAAAGTTTAAATCAAAATTTATTTTATTTTCAAACACATTTTTATCTCGTTGAAACCCAAATATACGAAAGTTGAAGCTATAAATTAGCGGGGATAGCTCAGTTGGGAGAGCGTCAGACTGAAGATCTGAAGGTCACGTGTTCGATCCACGTTCACCGCATTCAAAGTGAAATTTGAGAAAGTTTAAATCAAAATTTATTTTATTTTCAAACACATTTTTGTCTCGTTGAAACCCAAATATACGAAAGTTGAAGCTATAAATTAGCGGGGATAGCTTAGTTGGGAGAGCGTCAGACTGAAGATCTGAAGGTCACGTGTTCGATCCACGTTCACCGCATTCAAAGTGAAATTTGAGAAAGTTTAAATCAAAATTTATTTTATTTTCAAACACATTTTTGTCTCGTTGAAACCCAAATATACGAAAGTTGAAGCTATAAATTAGCGGGGATAGCTCAGTTGGGAGAGCGTCAGACTGAAGATTTGAAGGTCACGTGTTCGATCCACATTCACCGCAGTCAAAGTGAAATTTGAAGTTTTAAATCAAAATTTATTTTATTTTCAAACACATTTTTGTCTCGTTGAAACCCAAATATACGAAAGTTGAAGCTATAAATTAGCGGGGATAGCTCAGTTGGGAGAGCGTCAGACTGAAGATCTGAAGGTCACGTGTTCGATCCACGTTCACCGCATTCAAAGTGAAATTTGAGAAAGTTTAAATCAAAATTTATTTTATTTTCAAACACATTTTTGTCTCGTTGAAACACAAATATACGAAAGTTGAAGCTATAAATTAGCGGGGATAGCTCAGTTGGGAGAGCGTCAGACTGAAGATCTGAAGGTCACGTGTTCGATCCACGTTCACCGCATTCAAAGTGAAATTTGAGAAAGTTTAAATCAAAATTTATTTTATTTTCAAACACATTTTTGTCTCGTTGAAACCCAAATATACGAAAGTTGAAGCTATAAATTAGCGGGGATAGCTCAGTTGGGAGAGCGTCAGACTGAAGATCTGAAGGTCACGTGTTTGATCCACGTTCACCGCATTCAAAGTGAAATTTGAGAAAGTTTAAATCAAAATTTATTTTATTTTCAAACACATTTTTGTCTCGTTGAAACCCAAATATACGAAAGTTGAAGCTATAAATTAGCGGGGATAGCTCAGTTGGGAGAGCGTCAGACTGAAGATCTGAAGGTCACGTGTTCGATCCACGTTCACCGCATTCAAAGTGAAATTTGAGAAAGTTTAAATCAAAATTTATTTTATTTTCAAACACATTTTTGTCTCGTTGAAACCCAAATATACGAAAGTTGAAGCTATAAATTAGCGGGGATAGCTCAGTTGGGAGAGCGTCAGACTGAAGATCTGAAGGTCACGTGTTCGATCCACGTTCACCGCATTCAAAGTGAAATTTGAGAAACTTTAAATCAAAATTTATTTTATTTTCAAACACATTTTTGTCTCGTTGAAACCCAAATATACGAAAGTTGAAGCTATAAATTAGCGGGGATAGCTCAGTTGGGAGAGCGTCAGACTGAAGATCTGAAGGTCACGTGTTCGATCCACGTTCACCGCATTCAAAGTGAAATTTGAAAGTTTAAATCAAATTTTATTTTATTTTTCAAACACATTTTTGTCTCGTTGAAACCCAAATATACGAAAGTTGAAGCTATAAATTAGCGGGGATAGCTCAGTTGGGAGAGCGTCAGACTGAAGATCTGAAGGTCACGTGTTCGATCCACGTTCACCGCATTCAAAGTGAAATTTGAAAGTTTAAATCAAAATTTATTTTATTTTCAAACACATTTTTGTCTCGTTGAAACCCAAATATACGAAAGTTGAAGTTATAAATTAGCGGGGATAGCTCAGTTGGGAGAGCGTCAGACTGAAGATCTGAAGGTCACGTGTTCGATCCACGTTCACCGCATTCAATGTGAAACTTAGAAGCCTAAAATTTGAAAGTTTTAAATCAAAATTTATTTCATTTTCAAACACATTTTTGTCTCGTTGGAACCCCAAAATACAAATGTTGAAGCTATAAATTAGTAGGGATAGCTCAATTGGGAGAGTGTTAGACTGAGGATCTGAAGATCACGTGTTCGATCCATGCTCATTGCATCCAATGTGAAAGTTGAAAGCTTAAATCAAAATTTATTTTATTTTCAAACACATTTTTGTCTCGTAGGTTGCTTTTTAATTTGGTCTCTTATATTATTCTATCATCCTCCTTCCTATCATTCTCCTCGCACTCAAGGAACCATGGGGCACTCCATATGAAGCAAGCAAGTCTTGGAGATGAAACCTCCTCCAAGAGGTCGAACCAAGGACCTACGGAAGTCTGGGCTACCCCTTCCCCATGGCCATCACAACAATGTCTTGAGGAGTCATCTTTCAAACTAAGTGTCTTGAAGGAGACGAATGAAGCTACGAGACTAGAAAGTAAAGTAACTCTACGTTTGAATATCTCATAACTTACTATCTTGTCAAATACATTTCTCTTCCGACCGTGAGGGTCATAACTCAAAAATGTTAAAACACAAGGGACTAAAGTGAAATTTGTTAAACATCAAGGACCAAATTGAGAATATAATAAAAGAAGTGGAGCTAGAGAGATTTGGATGGAATGTTTAGAAGTCAAAATCAAGAGAGAGCCTTCATTGTTTGATTGTATTTATGACACAAAAGTTTGAAATAGGAGAAGTGTGGGTGTGATCCAACACCAAAAAAGGAGAAAGGGACAGATTTTCTCTCTTCAATTTATGGTTTGTGTTCCACAAAGGAATAAAGACAACCAATATTTAATATCAATGCTCACAATTTTCCCTTCCTCTTTACTCACAAACACAAAAAACATCACCATTCAAACAAAACAGATAATCAACAACTCTACTGCCCCCTATGTTCATCATGTTCATCATGCTCATCATCTTCATGATCTTCATTTCCCTGATGAACACAAACAGTTTCGAATCGACCCGTTTCGATATATCAGCTTTGATTCATCCAACATATGGAAACTAATTAGGATTAAAGTTCACATTTTTAAAGCTAATGAGAAGTAAAGAACGCACCTATGGACCTTTTGCAGTGGAGAACTGCATCATAAATTGAGCTCTCAGAATCACAAGATCTTCTCCACTGATGGGTTTCTCTTGAAATTGGGCGGCTAGATCCTCCGTGGAACAATTTCTCCACTTTCCCTTGAATTCTTCTGTAAATTGGCCTCAAAAGGTTCAAATATTTCTCAAAAACCTTCCTTGATAGTCTCCGGCACGAGTTTCTCAACGAACACGACGACTCCGGTTTTGCCAGTGGCTCGACGATGGGTGAAGCAGCGGCACTCGCCGTGTACGCCTGAAAGATTAGGAGAATGCAAAAAAGATTTGAGCTTTACATGTTTTTTGTAATATAAATTGATTTAGAAGAGAGGGCTTACAGGGAGGAGGTAGCCATTAGAGATGAGCTGATCAGCGTGGACGAGAGGTAGACACGGGGACGGGGACGGGGACGGAGCGGGGAAGTTGAAGTCGTGAGAAGGGCGAGAGGAGGAGGAGGAGAAGAATCTCTTGGAGGGTGGCATTGTGGGATCCATCTCAATGAAGGAAGCTTCATCAAGAGAGGTTCTGAAGGAATTAGGACGGCTTTCAAAGGATGATCTGATGTTCACCAACCACCTGTATGAGAAGCTTTCTATGGACAGTGGCTGAGAAGAAGCTTCCATGGCTGCGGAAGAGGAGGGAGAAAGAAGGAGAAGGAGAAGGCTTTGTCAGCCTTCTGCTATATGGGAAAGATGGGATACAATACTGATCATGTCTATATTTATATATGAATGGTCGTGATTTGATTTTGGATTTCACCTAAAAAGTCTCGTAACAATAGAAATAATTGTCTTCGCTTATACCGCTGTGATATTTTTCTTCATCTCAACCCGATTTTAGTTATTCAAATTTGTCTTATATATATAATCAGATTTTTTCAAAATATGTAGTAGATAATAAAAACAGATTTATCATTGATAAAAGCAATTTTGAATATTGTGTAAAAGAAGTAAGATTAATAATAATTACAATTGTCTTTTTATAAAAGAAAATATGTA